TGGCCAGCGTGATGGGCCGTGTCTCCTTTTTTGGCGGGGGGTACTGTATCTCCAAGTTTGGCGTGGAGGCCTTCTCCGACAGTCTCCGGTAAGTCTGGCACAGCAGACACTGCCCCTGATTTCCCAGTTTGCTTTTGCAGGCTTTGGCTGGCAGAGCCTCCATCTATCAAACCCCTTCCTTGTGCAACCACGAGTGAGCTCAGGTGGAGTTCGTTTTAGCTGCTGCTGAAGTGTGAGGAAGAGCCGCAAGGACACTTAACACGTGGGCTAGACGTCAGGACATCTTGTGCCCCAGCGACGGGACTTGGGCCCCACAGGAGTGATCTCCTTTCCTTGGGGAACCCTCTCCTGCCGCTGTCAGCCTCTGCTCTGCTTTCAGACAAGCTCATGCAGAGGCAGCCTGGGGCAAGGGAAGGCAAAGGAACTGGCAGTCCTTTGACTTCATTCCCCTGCCTGATGAGTTCCCAGCGGCAGGGAGGCGGTGGCCGCACCAGCAGACACCACCTGCCCCGGCACTGAGCCTCCCCCTTTGGACCTTGTCCCCGTACAGGATCCTGCGGGCAGCTCCCCATGCTCCTGAGGTTTGCTTTGGCCCCAACTCATCCAGACTCAGCGGATCGTTGCTCACACAGCCTCAGACACGTGCCGGGGCTGGCATGGGGTCTGCTGGGGTGGTCAGGCTCCCCACTGGACCTCTGGCACGAGGCTGCCGTGTATCCCCCCGCAAGAGCCGATGCCCACAGGCAGCCTGCACCGGTGGGTGGCAGATGCACTGGGGTGCTGCTCCCGTGTCCCACGGAGCTCAATCCTTTCCAGGCTTGAGATGCGCAACTTTGGGGTGAAGGTCTGCATGATCGAGCCAGGCTACTTCAAGACAGCGATCACCAACCATGAGAACCTGGAGAAACATTTTCTTTCCACCTGGGAGAAGCTCCCAGAGGAAACGAAAGCGAGTTACGGGGAGAATTACTTTAAGGAGTGTAAGTACTTCCCCTAAAGGTTAAGCAATGCTGTTTCCCTCCTGACACAAGGCACGTTCCTGGGTGCGCGGGATGTCCCACTGCCCCGTCATCCCACCAAGCCATTCAGCTGCATTTGGCTTGAGGGTCTCAGCCCAGCATCCTGACCGGCGCTTTCTGCCTCCGCAGTTCTGGTCACGCTCAGGAAGATGCAGAAGAGATGCAACCTCAACCTGGCGCTGGTCACGGACTGCATGGAGCACGCGCTGAAGGCACGTTCCTGGGTGCGCGGGATGTCCCACTGCCCCGTCATCCCACCAAGCCATTCAGCTGCATTTGGCTTGAGGGTCTCAGCCCAGCATCCTGACCGGCGCTTTCTGCCTCCGCAGTTCTGGTCACGCTCAGGAAGATGCAGAAGAGATGCAACCTCAACCTGGCGCTGGTCACGGACTGCATGGAGCACGCGCTGACCAGCTGCTCCCCCCGCACCCGCTACTCAGCGGGCTGGGACGCCAAGCTGCTCTACATCCCCCTCAGCTATCTGCCCTCCGCCCTCACGGACGCCGTGTTCTCCTGGTCCTACCCGCAACCTGCCGGGGCAGCCTGAGGCAGGGATGCCACGTAGGCAGCAGCAGCCACGGCCCGGCAGCGCAGGTTGGGATCCAGCATCGCCCGCAGCCGAGGCCATGCCAACACGTTCCTGCATTTCTAACTCAATGTATGTCTCCCATCCCGCTGGCCTCCGCTAGCAGAGCAGTTTGCTTCTGAATAAAGACAACTCCCCCCTGCCTGGCAGGGCTTGGTTTCAGCCTTGGCTGGGGCTGCGGCACCGAGGCCACGTCCCTGCTCCTCCAGCAGCACCCGCACAGCCGCTGGCTGTGCCGTGCCATGCCGTGGGAGCTGCTGGGGTGTCTGGCCATTCCCCTGAGCACCTGCTCCGTGCAGGGTCCAGCCCCTGCTGCGGTGCGAGAGCTGCACTCGCCTGAGCCAGTGCTCCAGGAGTAACACGTGAATAAAAACCAGAGCCGTACAAGCCTGAGCAGATTTCCCTCTGAGCACAGGGCCATGGTCGAGTCCTCCTCCTCCTTGGTGCCCCTTGGGCATCCCAAGGAGCGCGTGCTTCTGTGCACAGCTGCCTCCTCATGCAGGGCCCGTCCCGGGGTGAGGGGACGAAGCTGCTGCCCCCACTGGACCAAAGCCAGGCAAGGGCAGCGCAGTCGGCAAGAGGGTTCAGCCAAAACCAGCTACGTGAGGCAGCTGGCTCCACCCTGCCAGCACAAACAGCTGTTAAAGGCCAAAGCAGAGCTCCAGGCACACAGATATGTGTGAGGCAAAGCCGTGAATTCCAACAGAGAGATGCAACAATTTCTGCAGGTGCTGCCGCAATCCTGCCTGTCCTCCAGCACACCCCAGAGCAGCCCCGGCACTGGCGCTGCCTGATGCACGGGCTGGGGCTGGTCCTCCACACCGGCCACTGTATATGTGGCATGAATGGGGATGGCGCAGGAGGCTGTCACTGAGACGGTGCCCGAGGATGTGGCTGTGCCTGGCGGTGGTGCTGCCGCTGCCACCTGGGTCCGGGAGC